GTGCTGTTTCATGGTCACTGTGATGTTTCAATGGTACTCGTGATGTTTTCAATAGGTCACTCGTGATGTTTAATGGTCACTCGATGATGTTTCATGGGTCATTACTCGTGATGTTTCATGGTCATGCGTGATGTTTTCGTGGTCATCGTGATGTTTCGTGTCACTCGGTGAACTGTTTCGTGGTCACGTCGTGATGTTTCGTCGTCACTGTGATGTTTTTCGTGGTAATGCCGTGATGTTTTCGTGGTCACTCGTGATGTTTCGTGGTTCACTCGTGATGTTTCGTGGTCACTCGTAGGTGTTTCGTGTCACTCGTGGTGTTTAGTGGTCAACTCGTGGTGTTTCGTGGTCACATCGTGATGTTCGTGGCAACTCGTGATGTTTTTCGTGGTCATCGTGAATGTTTTCGTGGTCACTCGTTGATGTTTCGATTGTCAGTCGTGATGTTTCGTGGTCACTCTGATGTTTCGTGGCACTCGTGATGTTCGTGTCACTGTGATGTTTCGTGGTCACGTTTTCGCTGCACTGTGTTTTTTCGTGGTCTTGAATTCTTATCGTCGATCGTGTTCTCGTGTCGGTACTCGTGATGTTCGTGTTCGTGATGTTTGTCACTCGTGATGTTTTGTCTGTGAATTTCGTGTGAGTTCTGGCCACGTGATGTTTCGTGTCACTACGTGATGTTTCAGCGTGGTCACTCGTGATGTTTCGTGGTTCACGTCGTGATGTTTCGTCGTGCACTCGTGATGTTTCGTGATTCACTTCGTGATGTTTCGTGGTCACGTCGTGATGTTTCGTGTCATCGTTTGAGTCTTGAACTTCGTGATGTACCGTGCATGAAATTGATTTTAATTTTTAAAACAAATTTTTATTCAATATTTCTGAATAAGTTCTATCGTCCAAAGGTTATACAAAATTCACTGGGTATACGTTGCAGTAAATAATGCTTCTGTCGTCTGATCGGTTAATATTCGTGAATATAATTGTGAGCTGTAAACTGCCGTTTTCAAAGTAATATGTTATAGATTTTCCTCTACTTCCACTAATTAGTTCCGAAATTTCTGGGTGATTGTTTCTAATTCCTCTTCAAGATCTGACACCCCTGCGTTAAAGTCTCGCTTAGCTGGCACCGCTCGCCTCATTCGGCCACCCCCGCCGCGGCGCTTGCTTCTCCCCTCCCCATTCTCAAGCACACCTCTCACTCTCACACTCTCAACTCTCGAACCTCTCCACCCTTCGTCTCCATAAGGGAGGGGATCGGGTATCGTATATATTAACGGTGAATATTTATGACGACAAAATAGGATATTAGGTGGCCATACTCGCCGTGGGGTGCAAGAGCGAATCGGGATTTGATCGCCAAGTAATGGAGTCTGACGCTTGACCCCCCCGGGGGGCCATTTCCGGGCGGCCGCACCCCGCTTTCTCGCCCTCGCCTCACCCTCACCCTCTGCCTCGCCGCCGCTTCGAATCGCTCCCTCTCGTTCGTTCTCTTCCTCCCTTGGCCTTCGCCTTTCGTCTACGTGCTTTCCGCGCTCGTGATCTCCGCTTTCGGCCGACCGGCCTGCCCTCAGGAGAAGAGCCTGGCCTGCTTTGCCGCACAGTGGATCAAGATGACGGGTAGTGATGATAATTGAAGTGGCTGGGGTAGTATCGGATTGAACACTAACTAGGGAATTGTGACGAATTGAACACACGAACGGCACGCATTAGACGTCAGGTAGAATGAACCAAACCATCGAATCTAAGGATTGTACGGAAAGTAATACTTAAAATTAATGTTTTCCAACAGTTAAGCTGAAATTTGTGTGTATAGTTTTCTAATTTTTAATGATTATAAAACGCAATATCGTTCAATCAGCTTGTTTCCTTGTAGTTTAATAATCTTTATTATGGCACAATTAAAATGCAATATCAAAGAATAATCACCGTTTGAATGTTGCTAAATTTCTACACGATTGAAGCACTCATTTCTTCACGCAAAACATAGTATATCACAGAACATGCAACATAGTATATCACAGAAAAACCCACCTGCATAGGCTGTTACTACTGTAGGGTTCAACTAACACATACAATTATAGGATTAATTGCTGAAATTTGGTCATTGTGAACCACTGTGCAGCATCGTTTAGCTTCCAGTTTTCGTCTTTGGATTCTCCACCCGCTCGGCCTACGGCGGCCTAGGGCGCAGCAGCCGCTTTCCTTTTTCTCTGCGCTTCCCCTCTTCGGCGGAGCCACGTGCCTCGGAGGGTGCGGTGGGAGGGGGAAGCGGGAGGAGCAAAGGAGGAGGTCTTCCGCACGGCCCTACGTCTCAATTATCGAGGAGCCCCCGCGCCGGACGCCGCCGCGAAATCACCCGGCGCACCCAATCGGCGCCTTCGCGCCCAGAGCTCTTCCCGCCCTTCGCCGCCCTCGCTCGCTCTCCCGCGCCCTTCGCCGCTCGCTTCCCAAGCCCCACCCTTTGGAACGCCGCGAATTCGGCCTCTTGTACGCTTCGGGGAAACCACGTCGCGAGGTTTGGTTATAAAATGTTGTTTTTTCTTCATCAGCACTTTGTTTTGAGGCAATATTTTGGAACAAGATTTCTGGAATTACATTGCACATTAACGTCGATAAGGAGACGGTAGTTTGTCGTTTCCTATCAACCAATTATAATATCAGAAGGGTTTTCAACTCAGACTTTCTCCGCGAGCTGCGCGTTCCCGATCTCGCAACCCTCGTTTGCTCTTCGCAACCTTCATCCTTCAACGGGATTGTGGTATTTTGTACGATGCTGGGGAAACCACATCATGCTTCTTGATTATAAAACTTCATTTCATCATCGTATTGCTTCGATGTAATCATCGGAAGACTGATGTTACTGCAGTGCCCCTGACCGGAAGGTTCTAGGTTCGACGGTGGCAGGATTTTCGACCCTAGCCAGATAGCTAAGTCGAGTTCTGTCTGATTTTTTTTTTCCCGGACACCAGGCGAATGCCGGAGTAGTACCCTCACAAACGTGCCACTGACCGCGCGCGATCTTTTCCTTGTCCTATTATTTTTCCTTACTTATACACACTTATACTAACATGCTGTTCACTACCACAAATGCTGGGAGAGCCCCACTGGTGGGAGATGCCTGGTTGGGGAAACCCCGCTAGCGGACGGTAAGTCGACGCCGGATCTCGCCCTTCCGCGTGAGGAAAAGCATGCACTACACTTACGGTACTTTTGACCTTAGCCATTGACGCTTCCAGAATCAATATTTAATCAATCAATCGAAATAATCTTGTGACACCGTGCATATTTTTCCGACAAGATTATTGTCATATCCAACTCAATTCCTCACCCTATAGACAGTTGCTTCAATTGACTGCTATATGTAACAGTTTATCCATTATTTCCTGAAAAGAATTAACAGCGATAGTGGAATACTGAGTCATAGAGGATTCATTATGTTTTTCGCACTTACGTTGCTCTCGTCCTCTTACCCTTTGCCACCCTTCGGCGATCGATTTCAAATCCCCACACTTACGCGGGTTTTTGGCATCATGTTCGACTCTGAGAAAACCACATCATCTTTTTTTATTATAAAAAGTTCCACATTTAATTTAATTAACTGTATTTGAGTCGCGATTACCTAACATTAGACCCCTCTATATTTCCTGTTATCTAAGAGTAATCATGAAAGTATATTTTTGTTTTCTGAGGTAACTGGAGACGTTCTTTTTTGCCTACCAGGTGCTTGCACCATTCACAACGCTTTCAGTTTCGTTGTCTGCTTCAAATTGTCTTCTTGCATGTGCTGTCAACCGTTTATGCTATAAGAAAAATGGCATCAAGGACTAAAGACAGTGAGATTGTTTGGAAATCGCTGTCCTGTTGAAGGAAATATTTGGAACTTTATAAACAAAAAATACATTGATTACATCTGCTGTTGATCTCCCCCCATCAAGTAGAGGTTTTATTCTGTGGTCTTTCCATCTTTCAATTTTTGAGCATCTTCTTCTGCTTTACTCGATCTGGTCGATAGATTGCCAGCTTACAGAGAATACTTGTTTTTTGTGGACCATATGTAATGAGCACTAGTATCGAAGTCCTTTTCTCGCTGGTGGGTACTTAACGTGATGACGTTATATTGTAAGTTTCGGTGAGAAAAAAGCGGTTTCATTCTCTGTTTATTAATTTACGGCTTATGATAACGAGGAACCATGATGCGTTGTAATAGTCATTTAATGTTTAGCAATCTGAGCGTTTCGTTTTTTGTACTCAATATATTATCTATATGTTAATCTTTTAATATGTTATTAGTTTATCACAATTATATATTTTCTTTCGGTGTCAACATTACAGTTGTATTCTTGCAATCGTCTGTTCGTAGAAATAATTAAATATTTTACGCAATAGAAATGGCAGATATATTTCTCTTGGTTTGTGTTATGGATAATAATGAAGTCGCTTGCCACATACTTTCGCGTACAGTTGAGTTTAGAACGAATCTCTATTCGGAATACAATTTTATTCCAAACAACACACTCGAAATAGCAAACACAACATCTCTGTTAATAAACGTAAGCTTCGCTGTACGTCATTACATGTCGCGCGTCACATTGAATGGATTTGTTATACGTGTCTCACGGACAAAAAAATAACACTCTGCGCCATATTTTCAAAACTGCAATAAATATAGAACTTCGCAAACACACACACACATGCAGTGAATCGAGTGGTAATACGTCTGCGAACAGACGGATAGGCAAGGCGAAGGTAATGCGCTCTTTTTGCGTACTTTTGTCACCGGCGGCGGCGCTGCCAAAAATGTAATCCTCCGCGCCGGTAGTTCCATAAATATTCGCGCCGCCGAAACAAAGGGATTTAGATATCGCCGGCGCGATAAAGCTAGCCAATTGTATTATTGCGACTATAAAATATCCGGCAGCGCCAGCGGAGGCGTCCACGCCCGTGGATTTATGGAGCGCACCTACGCGCCTGGCGCCGTCTGGTGCCAATTGATCGCCGAAATGGAAATTCACCTTTCGCGCCGCGGGTGGGCGTGGCCCGGGCCGCCGCGCACGTGGGTGGAGTGGCGTGGGGGAGGGGAGGGGGTGGAGGTGGGTGCGGGCGAATTGAGGATTGAGAGTGGGACGTGTGAATGAGCTAGCGGGCGGGAACGGTCGTGGAGGAGGAGGGTGTGAAAGAGGGAACCATGCGAGAGAGGAGAGTGTGTGAGGACATAAGGGCGGAAGGGCCGTTGGGGGACAGGGCCGTTGGCGGGTGGACCAGGGGCCGTTGGCGACCAGGCCTTGCGGGAAGGCCGTTGACCGGGACAGGCGTTGCGGACAGCCGTTGGCGGGGACGAGGCCGATTGGCGGGACAGGCCGTTGGCGGGGACAGGCCGTTGGCGGGGACAGGCCGTTGGCGGGGACGTCGAGAAGTGACGCACACTGGGGACAGAGTGGGGAAAAGTTACCAAAAAGTATTTTTTAGCGTTTTTCGGGATTCTTGGAAATAAAAAATGTACAATTAAAAATTACTTATTCAATTGTTTAACCTTTAATATTTAATTATGTAACCTCAGAATCAGAACCTTCGTCTTTCAGAAGTGAATTTCTACTTGAAGGCATTAACATTGGTGTATCTTCTAGGTCAAATGTCTTTCTTACAGTTTTTCTTTATTCCATTTCTGAAATCAGTGGGCCAGATGCAATGAACACCCTGCGAAGCAGCTCCTTGTTAGTTTACTTTCTGAATTTTTTCTGGTGAATCTATCTCTATATTTTTTATTCCTTATTTTTCTTTTCAATGCGTTAAATAACATCTCACAGATCCCTTCTTGTTAAAAAAGATGTCTCAGAACCAAATCACGAACGAAAAAAATTAATATTGTAGGTAGAATGCAAACAAAACTAGGTGTGCATTATTATAAACAAAGGACCTTAACGCAAAATGGGGCAAACGTGAGCAAATTTTGATTGTTTTGAAAACTAGGATACATTTCAGAAACAGATTCAGTTAATCCCATGGCCCGGAAATGCTTGGAAGGCAACAAAATGACAATATGAAAAACCTGATTTACAAAATTCATTTCGTCGTGACACGTGAAGTTTGTGCTTGGAATAACAAAATTATTATTTAAGGAATGTTTTTTACTACTACAGATTTAAAGTACATGTCTCAAAGTATTGCATCCACAGCACATACGATTCTGCTGATCGAGAGAGCAAACACTATTTACTTCTAAAAACACACCTCTCTTCTTAGTGCAAGAGGGAAGAAGTGCGCAGCGGGAAGAAATTATTTATTAATTTTTTTTTCGGGTTGAGCAAAGAATGTCGTACAATTTAAGTAATAACGAAGCTCCCGATTGGGTGACAATATCCTCCAAATAGGAGTTTAAACACAAAATGCTTTTTGTTTAGAAATAAATTCGAGCATTCTTCTCAACAAATGGCGTTATTTTTGTTTTAAATGAAAGATAGTTGTTCTCAGATGTTTCAGGGGCCATTATCAACATATTTTGTAACATAAATATTCAATTTTAATAATATCCTGAATTAATAGAATAAATGCTTATCTACCGTCGTTTTAATTTTGCGTTTTGAAATCGATAGTAGTTCCATTTCAGGGTGCGGGAAAAAATGAGCAGAGTATTACCATTACGAGTGTAAGGCTATTGTTTACAAAGCACTGGCTGAGCAAACCATCTTTCCATCAAGGTTCAATCGTGCACATTACAACAGGCAATGGATATCTTATTCACGATTAAGTCTCTACTCCTTTAAATACCAGATTGTGAGTACATTGTATTAAATTGTATTAATTTGAATGAAGTCCAAGTGAAAGTCAGGGTCAGTCAATGAATTTAAAGTTAAAGAACTGGAAAAACTATGTGACGCATGATGAAAAATTTCCAGGCAGATTCCGATAGGACTAGAATTATTATATTTGGGATTTATCACATTTGATTTTATTATGCTACGTCACCGGCTACTGTAACTTAAATTTTATCACGATTTGGTGTATTTTAATAAAGGTTTTTTATATCTCGTATAATGATTATGAATATTAAAGTGATTGTTATTTTCTTTTTCATGCATTAGAACAAGAACACGTGGCAAAATTCAATGAAAAGATTTCGACAAGCGTGTCATAAGCATTTTATGATGTTCAGTCTTTCCGAATGTAAATCATCTCTTGCCTGCGGTGTGTAAGAAGAGTGGCTGGAATTGAAGAATAACATTTATCCGCCATGTATTGCCAAAAATGTGCTGTTTTTAGAAGAGAATCCAAAATAAAAGAGCGTTATTCCAAGCGGAAGCAAGCATTGTGGACTGGAGAACGTTATTTCAAAATGCAACCCTTCAGGAAAGAAAAACAGTGAGGTGTTGGATGAGTTGTGAAGCGACACCAATTTGATTGTCGGCAAATGCTGGCAAAAAAGATTACGTGATTAGTGTTACTCGGTGAGCCAGTATATGAAAAAGATTCGTAATTGGGTCATAAAAGGAGTTTATCCCGGAAGCCCAACTCATTTATTGAGGCAAAGACTATCACGGACGAATACATTCTGTGCATTTTGAAAAGCTGTTCCGATCGCAATGTTTCAATATCTCCCTCCTGATATTGGGTTGAACACTTTATACCATTGCAGGCAGTGTGAGAAAATACTGTCCAGATATGACACGAAAGTATAACTCAGTGGCTGGAGGGAAAAGGTATTTCATGTGATGACACGTTAAGAAAAGACGTCTAAATTATTAAAGCAAACGCACCTACTCATACATATTATGCTGTAGATGTTCTGGTAAAATAGAGAGGGCATACTGTCTTTCGTCTCCTACCCTATAACTGCGAGTAAATGCAATTGAATTAACATGGATAATTGCTTCAGATTTCTCCTCAGTCACTCCATCAGACTGTTTGCACCTACAGAAGCTGAAAGAAGATAATTGCAGGAGAGATGAACTTTTGGAAATGTCGATCGATGGAATTATTATAAATGTTCTTTCAGAGTCGAGGGAGGAATGTCAAGAAGATTTCTTGAATTCTCAGAAATATGAAAAAATTAGCTTAGTTCCCACCATATCCCTAAGAGTATATTTTTGAGGATAATTGGAAGTGTGTGTGTTTTAAAATTTGTTCGGCCTAAAAATCGGTAAGACTTAAAATTTATATAGCATGTAGTTATGGGAATTATTTTTGTTTCAAAAATACAGTTCTAATAGTGGTAGTGACTAGGGGAAAACTCATCAACATCAAGAGAGAAGAAAATGTGCTTATATTGAATCTGTAATATTAACTAAGCGATGACATGATGGTAATACTACAGCATAAGAATTTATAGTAGTACTTAAAAAGATCTGGTGTTGATTGTCGTAACTAGTTTTCCCTCTCTTCCCGCAACAAACGGATTGTTACCTCAAGAAAACATGTGGGTGTAATAAAATGTCTCTAAACTACATGCCATAAGCTTTCTGTTGTGAAGTGATTGTGAACAAAATTTGCCTTGCATGGACATGTGGTTATGTGAGTTGTAACACACTGACTGGCCATCTTTAGTGTTGCCAGGTGGCATCAGAAGGTTACGAAAGTCTTCGAATGTTTCACAACATTCAAAAATTGAAATAGTCATCAAAGAACAGGTGACAAATAACGAAATTTCATTGTGAGTCACATTGTACATTATTGTTAGGTACTGTTATCATATTCCTTTATGCTTATATATAATTTTGTACCTGCAGGAACGTGTTACTTATTTAAGAAACGGCGGGGAAGTTACGTTATTATGAAACCTAGGACACTAAACGTAAGCCATTGTAGCAGCAATTTTGTTTGGTTAGTTTTATGTGTTCTGTCGAATTTAATTATTATGATTTCAGGAGCGAGCTGACTCTGAGGTTCTCAGAAAAACCGTTCTGAAAAGTTGTTGTATTTATTGTTTGGCTATTTTTCTGAGTCCAGTTCTAACCTTTTTTGGCACCAAAGAATTAATATTTAAAGGTTTGTAATAGAGATTACCATTTACGTATCTCTTTCACAATAACGTGTCTATATTCATTCATATTATTTACATTTCTTTAAGGTTTTCTAGAACTGGATGACGTTTTGACCAATGTGTATTCTGCTGTAGCGTCTGTGATTGCTCTTCATGTTGTGTTCGGAATGTTCATTTACAAAGCATATTCATACCCTGCACCCCCTCAGAAGCCCAGAAAAGACGATTGAAACTGATAGTCTGATAGTTCGGTATATTAAACAACAATCGATGTTTTTCTCTATTCAAATGAATACAATTTAGTGATTACCAAATACCGAATTTTGTGGTTGCAGAAAATGCGTATTTTGTTTATAATGTCACTCTTTTAAATGTTATTTTTTGTTTTTATTGAAAATAAATTTAAGGATATATAAACAATTGTATGATTAAAGTTCGTCGTAATATTTATTTTATTTTAGCCATTAAATATCCCATAATGGGTAATTACTTATACAGAGTATAAAAATTCTACAAAGGTTGCCTTGTAGATTTGTCTTCAGTCATTATTGTACATGTGTTTACAATATAATTTCAACAATGCTATTTTAAATCTTGTGATCTATCAATTATATAATAATACATAATCTTCCAATTATGTTTTTGCAAAGATTTGACACCTTATCAAAATGAATTAAAACTATTGCTGATTTTCAATTACTATTTGAAAATGGAGAACGTATATAACATTCTTCCAGTGTAATTGAGACATTCAGAGAGAGGGGCTAACCCACAAAATTCAAAATATGGTTTTGTGAGCTTATTTTATTATTACCACACTGAATGTGTCAATACAAAATTAATCAATGTTTTGAATTTTCAGGGTTAGCTCCCTCTCTTGCTGGATGCCTCAATTAATTGCATCAAATGTGGGAGAGAAAATGTCTTTAATTTCACTTTTGAACAATGAGCAGATATTTTTTATCAATTATTGCTAAAAGCGCCATTATTGCCACACATGGAACTTTTCAGTTTTCATTGTTGTGATTTTATGAAAGTTCTTATAAGGTGTTCTGTATAATACACTATTGCTTCTATTTCAATTACTTAAAAATTACTTTTCATTGTGACTCCAAAAGTACTCGAAGTTCATTCTTATATCTTTCATTTTCCTTCAAAGAAGGCTATCAACCAAACAAATTCATTATCAGTCTCTTCAAAACTTAGTGTCTTCAAATAGAAATGAAGTAGTTATAGGCCTACATAGATTCCCTCGGAAAGCAGTAAAGCAGAAAGCCGGCTAAAACGTTTCATTTTTGCAGTCAACTCGCCTTCATGAACTGTTAAAACTTCATACGTTTGTTTTTGAAAATATTATAATAATATGAAATAGTAAAAAAACGAACACTTTTATAAACAATTTTGTAGTTACTACAGTTAAATATTACTCACCTCCAACTTGTCCATTCATATTGTTCGAATACAAGTGTACATTTGTAGCAAATACTACAAAAGTTTCCAACGCTTAGTGCTAATTTTATTGAATAATAAAACTAACTTTCAGACCATTATAATAGGTTTATTATTATTATTATTATTATTATTATTATTATTATTATTATTATTATTATTATTATTATTATTATTATTATAGGTTGTTTATAATTTCCTTTTTTATATAACTAACAGTTATGTGCCTGAAATTTAGTTGCTTGCTAATCCGACAGCGATGTTTAATCACGATTCAAACAAAACGCGGGAAATTCGAATTTACCATTTGGAATTATTTTCAAAAACTCAGAGAGTGCGCCAAAAATAGGCCCAGCACCACTTTCTTTATCATACTTTGCTACATACTGGAAAATTAAAGAAAAATTTGGAAGCCGTTTCTAAGAAAATAAATGTTTGAAATATAAAATTTACCTATTTTTAAAGCAAAATTACGCAAAAAATAATCATATTTTCTAAAAATTCAACGTGAAGATCTGTTTTTGAGGAACACATTTCATTATTAAATTTAAAAAATAATTATAGTCGTATGAAGACGCGGAAAAAAGTTAAAATTTTTGCAATTTTCAAAAATCACGGATTTCAATAGATATCTCTGCTGCGAAGGACCTCCTCAGTCGGGACAAGCTTTAAGCCACGGACTGGTCTATCCCCTTGATAGTACGTAGTTTATGTAAATGTGAATAATTTTTCGGTATTCCTTTGGTTTTGATTGGCCAAATCACGGGAAACTACGGATCAGAGTAGTCGGCCGTTAGGATTCTCATCCAGACATCGGTTGAATTCGACCAGCTCCTTGCAGAGTGTAGAAAATTCTCGACCGTCGGATCTCCAAGACTGCGGTGCCAATAGTTGTTGCCCTGAGCCATCTCAGGCGGTATGTTTCTCGTGTACAGGCGGCTTGTGGTTGCCCTCAGTGCGTGCAGGGAAAACCGCCAGTCGCGAAGCTCAGTTGGTCATGCGGGCGAGCGGGATGAAGGACGAGCGGCGGGCAAACGATGTATTAATTGATTGTCAGTGATTCCGGACGCGTCAACTATGGTCATTATTCCCGTAAGTATACTGTATGTTTTGTGCTTGGAAGGTGGCGGTCCTTTTCCCCCGCTTGATGGCGAGATTCGGTTTCAACTTACAGTCGGCTACTAGGGTATTCTCTAACCAGGTATCTCCCACAGTGGGGCACCGCCATAGCCGGGACAAGATGTATGCTCCCGACCGGTCACCCGGCAGTGTAGTGCAGTGCAGGTCAGTGTGTGTGTGTGTGTGTGTGTGTGTGTAATTAGGGTAGTATTTGGGTGAGGATAGGACAAGGAAGAGGTAGAAAATATCGCGCGCAATCCGTGGCCCGTTTGTTAGGGTACTGCTCCGGCATTCATCTAGTTTGTTCGGAGAAACCACGGGAAACTACCGATCAGAGCAGCCGATCTCCGGAACAGCGACTGAATTTGACTTAGCTGACAAGCTAGTGACGACAATCCTGCCACCGTCGGGACTCGAACCTCGAACCTCCCGGACAGGGGGATTTTAGTGCCATCAGTTAACGCCCTGAGCCATCTCTCCCAGGGGCGGACAAGCCGGTGGACGAGCAAGCGGGAGGGCGGGCGAGCAAGCAAGCAAGCAAGCAAGCAAGGCAAGCAAGCAAGCAAAGCTGGCGGGCAGGCGAGCAAGCAAACAGCAAGTGAGCGGGCGGGCCAGCAAGCAAGCGGTGATCGCGAGAAACGATCGCTGCGCGGCAGCCGGCGCCCGCGGGGGAGCCCTTCGCGGCAGGGGGCGCCATTAGGGCCCCAACAGCGCTCTCCCGGTCGGCCGCGGCAATCGCGTCGCTACCGCATTCGATCTCTTCGATTGCTCGCGCGCTCCTCGGCGATGCTCGGCTGGGCGCGCGTGACTCAGCCTCGAGTCTTCAGGAAAAGAGCACCAATTGTGCGGTTTGGTGCACATCTGCGTTTCTCCAGATCGCCCTCGATCGTTTTTTCCCTCCTACTCAATTGTGCAGAGATTTGAATTACAATAGACATTTTGTATTTTTGGCTAGTTCCAAAGATTAATTTGGAAATAAATAGTTTCCTATAATTTGAACTATTTTATGTAAAATAATATTTTTCATGTACTTTCGAGCGTGATTGAGAAAGTAAAGTAGGTAGTATTGCACTAAGGTAGATAATACCATGCCTTTCTCTCCAATTTTAATTCCATTTCAATAATTTGTACTCTGAAAGGGAATTTCTGTAGTTAATAACTTTTCATTCACAAATTCATTGGATTTTCACGTTGTTTTGACTTTGTTGCTATCCGCAATTCCTTATTATCTCCACTTTTTGCAAATTCATTCCCTGGGTGTCCCCAACACCTTGATATCATCTTGAATTATAATATTTATGTTCGGAATTTGTCCCCAATATTTCTAATAACTTGTGCTCATCTCGATTTTTCAACATATGGAAAATGATAAAAATGAATAAATTTCAATATTTTAATTGTTTTTCCAAAACGTTTAATATTACTGTTGAAAGCTTCTCCGTAATTCGAATTGTCAATTTTTAACCTTCTGTTGTTTAACAAACTTCATGACCTGAACACAAAGACAGTTTACAGAATGCAACGCAACATCAAATTCCTAAGGTTTTGTTGCAGCGCTATTTCTACAAATAGGTGTTTTGAAAACTGATGGCAGAGTTTCGTAAATAATTTACAATTAAAGATGTTTATATATTAATATAACTTAAAATTGTTTTGACGCAATAATAATAATAATAATAATGATAAATATTAATAATATTAAGAGCCAAAAGTTAAATCTAAATATTTGTGACTGCCGTGTATAAAACTTTTAATGTATTAATCACGTGATTATGTAACTACTCTCTACTTCACTTCACTTCACGACACTACTTCGTAAACCGTAGTTGTGAAACTAAATTATTTGGCAAGTCATTCACGAACGCGAATTACACGATTCACCAATGACACTTTCTGGGGAGACGTTTGCTTACCAAGGAAGCAGTTGTCGGCCTTTTTTTTCTTTTCGAAGTTAATCGAAACATCACTCCAAAGTCTACACCCAAATGTACTAATTTGCAAACCAGTTTTGTCACATCGAACGAGCATCAAAACCCTTGACAAAGTCTCTTATGGCATCGGCTGTCCCACCGTCATCAACTTCATCTATGTCTTGAAACAATGGTACTATCTGAAACATCGTTCCTGAAACCATAGTTATTGAAAAACTCATTATTTTCGTTCCTTTTCTTGATTAATGTAACTTGTAATAAAGTATTCCATAATATTCCATAATTGACGTAAGGCTTAGCGTTCTATAATTATACAAAACTGTTTTATATTTTTTTAAACTTAAACCCACTTTTATAAATTGTTTCAGTCGTAGCTGCCATCCAATCTTCGAGTAAGTTTGAATTGTGTATTGAAATGTGAAATAATTTTATTATGTAAGATGATATGTCCTCCCCACCGAGTTTAATTATATCAGTGGAAGTGGCTCCTGATCCCATTGATTCTTTATTGATTATATTCTTTTCCGCAATGTATTTATTTTAATATTAAATTGACTTGTCACCCTTAACCTCTCGCTATTTGAGTGTAGAGAGATTTGAAAATGGAACTGAACTATAAGTTAAATACGATGGCTTTTACTCAATCCTCTGTAAGTAACGCATTTTTAGTATTTTTAACAATCTGATTTTTTTCACCATTTCCTCTTCTTGTAATATCCTCCCCAATTATTTCTTTCCTCTTTCATTTTATGCTTTAAAGAGGAGTCTTGTGCAATTTTCTTTTAGCGTTCTTTTGAAAAAATCCAAAAATTTATTGTATGTTCTTTACATTATTGAAAGCCTATCTAGTTTTTCTCTTCATGCATCTAATTTTCAAGTTGTG